CGTCAAATCCACGTTTACACTCACTAATTTCAAGTAGGTCCGACTTATAATCAAAAGCAAGGTGATGCTGCAGATAGTATCCGATGAATGTCCAGAAAATGTCAACACCGGCATTGTAGGAAAATATGTGCACTGTAGGTTACATTTGCGAAAAAAATGGTTTGTGGCGTTTCGCCACATATGACGTTAAGGGGTTAAGGATCATAAGCCTGCCTTGTAATTCGAGAGCCCAGGCTCCAGCCTTCGTATGCAGCGCGTGACCCCCGCAGTATGCTAGTCCACGTGCGACTGGTGGTGGTTGCGCGGCAGCGAAGCGTCAGTACTGCGTAGGTGTGTACCGCTGATGTGGGCGGACTATGCGCTATTGCTCAGTGCACTTCGTTTGTTTCGTGACTTACTCTGTGTCGGATAACCCTCTAAGAGTCAAAACAAGGTCTGGGCAACGAGCAGCATCTGTTTTGTTTAAAGCAAAGCACCGTTTAAACCGCACATAACTGGGTGGCACTATTTGGTCGCGACTTCTCACACTAGTTACTTCTTAGATTTTTTGTTTTGCGCGGTCGATCTGTATTTACTCTTCCGTGCCTTCTACTCGCTGCATCGGCCTTGTCTGCTTTGTCCGCCTCCAGTTATGCTCGAACACATCAGCACTACTTCATCTTTGTGGAGGTGCCTACGCTTAATTCTTTCACGTATGTTTCAGCTAATCCGCTTCTTCCTTGTTCATGACACAACTTGGCTTTGTTCTTGATAGGTGAAGCCGATCCTTATTCCTCTCTGTTTTTATGCACGGTCAGTTTGCGTCCACGACAGCTGCTTAGCCTCTGACTTGCCCACTACCTATTGATCAGCTTTGCTTAAACAACCAACTACTACCGCGCTCTGTGTACACCACCTATATTGGAAATAATGTCTGCAGTTAAATTGGTCTCACTGAATGTACAGTCCACTCCGTCGCCCGCTGGTAACCGATCTGGCTCGTAACCCACAGGTCAGCGAATCGAACCTGCGCGGGTCCCGGTGACCCCTTATGTGGCCATAAGTTACTGCGTAACAAGGAACGGTTGGTACCGGCATACTATGTCGTGGAGCTGATTCGTCCCCTAACTTAGCCTACCTGCCAGTTAGTGGATTTGACATTTAGTGCTATAAGCTTAAACTGTTAACTGCGTCCTTGGATTTTAGATATGTTGGTTCAAGTATTTGCTAGCTTATCGTCTAACCTCTTATGACACTTACGGAGGGTCAGCGTTCAGGCCGAGAGCAGTGGCGCAACAGTGGATCGATCTAAAATTAGAGATCAAAGGCGGGTAGAGATCAAAATGAAATCTATGTGAAATCAACGGCAAGTCGGACCATGAACTAGGACCGTTTGATTTGTGTTATTTACTATCAATTAGCATCTCCAATATTGTTGTGTTAGTGGTTTCCTACAGCCTATTTATTGCGCCATGCTCTCATACAATGGAATCCGAATCCCGCGGTCCGGCTGTTTTTGTGGCGTTCTCCTTTCATTGCGGGATTGAATTGGTTGGGGGCGGCACAGCAGATTCAGGCAGGTTATCCTTAAAGTCAGCAGAACCCAATACAGACACTATCATCGACATGCAAATCTTCGACATAGATGAGGCTTGAGATCGTGATCTTGTGAAGAAGAATAAAGACTGACACCTGCTGTTCATTAAAAGCTGTTCTCCACCGACTTGACTATATGACCACACCAGAGTTAGTTAACATGGTAGTGGAATTAACGGTGATTAAAAATTAGGGAAAGAATAATGAAATTGCAGGCTAAACAATGAATGACTGATACGAGAACGGGACGACTCGCAGCTGGAGGAAAAGACCTGGCTTCATGATATCAATTGGCTCACGATGGTTGATAGTAACTGACAATTATTCTACCTACTTTAGCGGCACAACTATGAAGAAGCATGATAATGCGTTCATGAAATCACATATAACAGGTCTTAAACCCCATAAAAATGACGGAAGTATTTGTAATATTGCTTTTTGCTGTGGTTACTAGGCCGTGTCACCATGTTTACACGCTATTCTTCTCATAAAGTAGTTAGACCAGAAATCAACCAACCATGGGTGTCGAGTTTTGGAGCACGCGCCTTATGTCCTAAACTGCTACACACGAGTTCAGTTGTGGCCTCGGTTAGCTTTGAAGCCAGCCTCTGCCGTTCTGATCCCTGGGACCGTATCGGAAGTGGAGGGTTTCGGTGTTTTTTTCCATCCCTAGGGAGTACAACACCCAGCCTCACGACTGCAGTTGTATGACTGATTGTGGAGCTTCGCCATGTCATATTTTCACCAAAGGTCAAGCCCTAATCCACTTAAAGCTGAGGGCCACCACACATAATGCACGCATTCGTACACACACACACACACACACACACACACACACAGAGAGAGAGAGAGAGACGTACGCTGCTCTCATCATCTCGCCAGTGAAAGGCGGTCGAAAATGTCAGTTGTCGATTACACCGCGCTCAGTTCAAAAGTGATTTTCTTAAGCTAGGGTTACGAGCCCTATACAGCATACTCTTTCGAGCATTTACCTACTGAAACTAGGATGCATCACATCTTTGATAACAGCGACCAGCATTGTGAGAGCCACAGTGTACTTCAGTCCACGACAATCTGGAAGTTGGGCTTTGCACCTGTACCAGGGTCTTTCCTCATTGAACCCATGGCCAAGTTACGGCATTACAATTTTTGTTGACTTTATATATGCTACAATAGCCTAATTCATACATTTTTTCTGTGTTCTGTCACTTTTTATCTCACGACTAAGCATCCGCATTGTAAATCTAAATGTATTTCTTACCCTTACACAACTGGTTGATCTGGACTCTGCGAACAGCGATATGGCAATTCCTCCTGATCAAATTGACCAAAGTGGTTACCCATTGCTTACGAATTGAACTTGTGGTTAGAGCACCTCCATGGGAATAGCGCTTTGTCGATATTCCTGTGGTTTTTCAGATGGGTCAGCTTAAAAGGGGCCATTCTGACAAGGTCGACAGGCGGAGTCGGGAGCATTGCATCAAAGACTGATTCATCCAATGTGAACATCAGGATGGCTTTTACGAACGACGGCATGCAACCTACCACATAGATAATGTAGACAAGTCTGCACAGTGGATAAAATTTATCGTTAGTTAACATTAATTTCGCATCCTGGATGCCTCATATTCTCCGCACTGTTGGTCATAATTTATCGAAGAAATTGTTTTATCTGGATGATATAGCCAGTTCGTAGCACTATATTCCATATATCAACTTGACATCTACCAATATCTTGTGACATGGACTGAACTACCTGATGGTGCCCCTCTTAATCGTCGCGCTGATGCGTGAATTCTCCTGGACCAGCGATGCAGATCAACTGAAAGACTTTACTACATCTGTCTACCATTCTTGGTGTTTGAACGCTTCTTCGTCATTTCACATATTCCGGCATTGCCATGGGAGTTCGCTGAGGTATTCCAACATGCTTACCGATGCTCCTGATTTCCGCTATGTGTGGGTTTTAAATCCCTTGGGTTTTTTTGCGTAATCCTATTGAATTCGCATTCGAAAATCCTACTCAACCTTAAGTGTGGTGTACTGGCTTTTACAAAATGTATACCTGCTGTGCTGACCAGCTATGAGGTTAGAAAACGGTTTCCCTGAGTTTCGTTGCCAGAACTTCAAATCAGTATCCATGCCTCAAGCGACCAAAGACCTTACGCCTAATTAGCAGTTAACATCGTTGATGGTGATGTGGCCCTGAACTAGAATAGGCTTTGGAGCTCGGTTTAGATCGTTGAATCAATACATAAGACCGGTTAAGTGTGACAGAATCGGGCTCTTGTAGCACATATCAGTACGCCGCTGCAAGCTGAGTGGCACGTTTAACATCCGCGAGTCTGATGATGTAGTGCTCGAATGAGGAAGGAGGAAATAAAGCACGCGACCACTTGAATAGATTGTTTCCATCGCCGAGCCACATAGCTCGGGTTCCAAGCGTCTCACTGTATATTTGGCTCGAGACACTACACGATTTCGCGCGCAACTGACCATAGTTCTGTGTTTAAGCGCTTCACCCAGTCGTTTAAGGCATGTACATTGAAAATTATTAGGTAGAATATGACGAAAGGAGACGGTGGTCACAAAGAAGCTATCTCTCTGAAATCTCCTCCTTTTCACTCGATGACAGTTCAGTTTTGTACCCATACTTTACGGTCAAAACGCCTGTGTCTTGATTCCGAATGTTTGCACAAGGCATTGAGTTTTGCGTCATGTTCTTATTGTTGCCCGCTTCCTACTGCTCAATAATAAAGTCAACCGTCGCTATTCATCTTTGCATGACAGCGAAGCACTAGTAAACCTTATTGTCACATTGCTATTGATACTCTTGTACCACCTGACTGGTAAGATCTCGAAAAGTTTTAATTAACTGGTAGATTTTCTTTTTCTCAAACTGAGACCGCTCTTATTTCGGAAATTCGCTACCAACCAACCTCATTTAGCAAGCTCACATTTCATTCACCATTTATACTTACGAATATAACTGTTTATCCTTGGTGACCACGTGTTCCAAACAAAACTGACTTCACATGGATCAGACAGAATTGGTTTTAGTATATTAACTTCATACCCAGGTGGTCTTTTTGTCCTACATTGCTTACGCTCAATACAACAGTGAGAATCCGAGTTCATTGTTTGTCCATTAGACATATACCATCGTCTCGCCATTCCACTTCCGCGTGATTGATTGGAATCGGAAATTAACTCTACATCCAGGGCAGAAGGTGACATCTTAGTGGTGTGTATTTGCTCACTTTGAAGAATTTGTGATATTTTTAGTGTTATCTTTACAAATCTGTGTTATCGTTCCGATAGTTTTCCGCACTGAATTGGTCACCCTAGTACAAACAGTGACCATTCCAGGGCCTGTCACTCAAGAGGCAGGATTCCTTAGCAGTTGCATTTTCTACCGTTTTCAGCCGACTACCGGAAGTGGCCGTTGGAGCCGAGGCATCCTCATGTAGTGGACGAATACATGAAACCGACAGAACCATTCCGTGGACTACCCACTTACACCTCGGACTACATTCGACACCAGTGAGTTAGCCTCAGTTAGGTAGTTGGTTGCGAGTATGCCGTGATGAAAAGCAGAAGTTCATTAGTTGAGAGCAGTTCCAAAGTTCAGTTCAACAGACACGCGTTTTTATTCCGCACCGTCTACACAGAGAGTTCAAAGTCACTCGAAATACTAGTAGCTCTGGTTCGTCGAGCTTAACAAGTAAGTGCCAATCGGTTCGTTATTAAGTGAGGCGACAGTGTCAGAGGGTAGCATAAGATAACACACATTGTCACTGTTAGTTTTATCTATATTTAACTAAAATCCTGGCCACTTATGGCAACATTTTAATTTTTTCTCATAGTTCGTGCTTGATCCTTAGAGGCAAGGTCTGACGTACAAATTAGAGTGAGGCGGCGGCACTGGAAACGCTACCAGCTCATAATAGAATGCTTCTGCACACTTTGCCAGTCCTTAGTTACCAGTGTTTTTATATCAAGTAAACAGTTCCATCGCTTTGTTTTTCCTGACCAAATGACTACGTTCGTACTTAATAGATGAATCTTGTATGTGCCAGTTTCGCCCCCTCCTATTGTGATGCACTCAAGAATTCCGTCATTGGACAATCTTTTACATAGATGGCGTTTTCTGTTTTACACTTTATCAAATTGTAATAAGGCTTTTGAATCTCATGGTACGTCGGAGTCAGACTCGTTACCGTAACGGATCTTATTGGTGGATCAGAGTAGTCTTAGTTGTGTTATTGTAGTACTGGCGGCCACCGGCCGCCTGAGCTGCGCACCTGGTTTGCAACCATAAGGTCTCTGGTCGAATCCGCGTAACGATGGGAGTCTTCGCGGTGTACTCAGCCCACACGCGACTGGTGGTGTTTGCGTGGCAGCGAAGCGCTGTTATGGCGTGCAGCTGGCGATTTATTTTGATTTTTACTGTGGAACTCATGGTCTAATCTACAGGTCCTACAATCGGCATATCAGACTGGTGTCCTTTTCCAAGGAAACTGATAATCCCCGCAAAGGATACCACAAGGAATATATATATATATATATATATATATATATATATATATATATATATATATATATATATATATATATATATATATATATATGATGTATCGCCCTCATTACAACGAATGTGACCAATGCGGACCGTGGTTTGTTCTCAGCTTGACACGCTTGTCCTACAGGACTGTGACCACTTGGAACAAGGCTAGCAAACATGTCTATCCATTCAGAAGAACTTACGGAAACGCTCGACGTTCCGACCCAAATGAATAAAGGTGCCCTGTCTGGGAAGTAGACTTACCCAAAAGACTAGGTAATGCCGTTGGAAGATCACATTAAAAGGAACATGACTCCCTCCAAGCATCACAAAAATCTACGTATGCATTAGAAAGTGTTAAGCTGGTCCTCTGTGTATCACTTCATAAGACGCTGGATCCTTCTGTACGCGCAAACATGCCAACTCTTGCGAACTCTAAGTAGCAATAACCGTGAGGGATCAAATTGGACTCATTATTTCCCCATTGTCATACATGTCGGGCCAATTTTATTTAGAAAGTGAAGTCTAAACAACCAGATCTGAGGCAACCATAGTGTACATGTTTAGTACCAGGTTACAGTTGGGATGTGCTATTTAGAGAAAGGTCCCGGAACTTGTGAACGTGGTCATGTTAATATAGGAATTGGCAACGACCATGGAGAGTACAAGAGGAAGCGTTATCTGGATGGAGTATGAAATCGGAGTGACCAGGTTACTTTGCATGATGAACGGAACAGCCACGTTGACGCGAACCGCGAGGAGTCTCACCAGTTTGCCTTATCGTTTACGTCACTCTGCAGATTGTAGTAGTAGTAGTAGTAGTAGTAGTAGTAGTAGTAGTAGTAGTAGTAGTAGTAGTAGTAGTAGTAGTAGTAGTAGTAGTAATGGTAGTAGTAGTAGCAGATTGTAGTAGTAGTGAGTTTGTTTGACTGAATCAAAGGAGGACAATCATTGGTGCAATAATGCCATTTGAAATACTATCTACCTGACTACATATATCAAGACGACTTTCGGGCCAACTCTGCTGTCATTTGTACTGAGTTCACTGTGTAGTATCAACGTCCTTTACTGAAAGATCGAGCTTTTAGACACCAACCCTCCTTTTTTCATCTATGATTTTGTGCTGTATATCGTACTCGCCTTACTTACTTTGCAGATTAAAGCCTACTCAGTCGTGTAAGCCAACGCAACGATACACCAAGCCCGTGGTAGCTTTTGATGGAATCAGTGATTATCGTGATGCGTACAGACAACCTATGGTGACGGAGCGCGCCCATCCAGTTGTCACCAAGGTCTGTGTGCAAAAAGCAACAGCTCCGATGGAAGGCATCTCAACACATATGCGTGATTACGTCTGGAAGACTGGAGGTATGAATATTTCATCCAGCTTTTACCATTGCAGTGAGGGGGGAGGTGGTTACCTAGCTGCACCGAACCGTCTGATATGTCTCCATGCTTGTGAGCCAGATGGTTCATTCTCTAGAAGCTAGACTTCATTACCGTATGTCAGAGTTGAATGTATCAGAAAAAGGACGGTAATCAAAGTAATGATGATTTCACCATTCTGAAAGTTCGGTTTTACTGATGATCGTCATCCAAGTTCAATTCACTGTGGCGCGCTCTCACATTTTGCCTACCAGTTGAGAATAACTAGTGAAAATAATTACCCGATTCCGTTGGCTTGGAATGTCACTGGCCTTTCCACTCTCTCAAGCTACATCCTTAGTTGTCATGTTCTTGTTCCGGTATTGCGCCGATGTCAGGGATGACCGAGTGAACAGCCTCTAGCGTTGGCCCGTCACCTGACTGCGATAATCCACAACGGCCTGCGTCTGTATAAGGAACATAGGTAGCTGGCATTGTACCACACACAGCTCCATTCACGCACCCCATATACAAATAAATAATTAAATAAATGTTATATTTCTCAATTTTGCGAGCCAAAGATCGATTACATGGCCTGATCATTTTGCACAACTTGTTCCAGTGGTGGAGAACCTTGGTCAAATTTTATAATGGTCCCCACGAAGTGTGAGGAGTGTTCTATTATTTAAAAGTAATAAACGAGGGAGAATTTGTGAATAGAATTAAAAGTATAGTCGGCAGTTCAAGTAGAGTAATGCGGCCATCTTTTGGAGACCTGCTTCCATGCGGGGTAATCCCTCGAAAACTTTAACTCGAGGGACTAACAATAAGAAGCATGCAGATGGGGGTCCCAACTTTCTCGGATTCAATCCATACTTCGATAGAACATACATTACTGTTAGGAAAAAAGGGGAATATGTGTCATCAGCATCAGCGTTGTACACGTTAGCTGCAGGTGAAAAACATCTCAGCTATTGTAGCGCAATACAAATGATAAGAAGAAAAATATACAGTGGCCTGCCGGCTGAGTCCCCATTAACGGATGGACATCGTTCCGGAAAGCTAACAGCCAGCTATTGTGCCGTAGAAAGTTATGTTTTGCCTAACGAGTGAGATCGTGATTGGAGGGGGAAGCTAAGCAGGAAGGGGATGGACAAAGGAACTCACAACATAAACGCCATTGGGGCCGTCTCCTAGTCATATCAGCAAGTGTGTCCAACTAAACCTGTTCATCGTCCTTAGGACCCCAGCCAGGCAGTCGGGATGCACCAACCGATGCCATCTTCAAAGTGAGGGTTTTCATTGCTCTCGACCAAGTCATCGCTTGGCCTCCCCTCTTCCTCCTCTACCAACCGCACCCCCGGCGCGCAAACAATGCACGTCGCGGAAGTCGGTGTGCTGGCATGCGCAACACGGGGCCCAGTCATCGGATCTTGGTGCGTGATATAATGGTGCTGAGCCGTTCACTCGCTCTTCCTGCACCAAATACGCGACGCCGAACACGCTCATTGCTCACGCGGTGCTCCCACCAGACATGAGCTAAGCCGCGAACGCAGCGGTGATCGAATGTGACGAGCTTCTTTATGTCTGTCGACCTGATGGGCCAAGTTTCGCAACCATATAGGAGAGTGGAACGGACGGCTACATTATAAACTCTGCTCTTCAGAACGAGAGTAATGTCGCGTCTGCGCCACATGTGACAGAGATTGGCAAAAGCACCTCGAGCCTTTGCTATCCGGTTCGTAACCTCTTCTTCGATCCGTCGGGCGCTATTATAGCTGCCCAGGTACTTGAATTCCTGAACAACTTCTAGCTGATCACCACAAAGCGTTAGCACAGGTGTGGGTCCCTGTCAATCTTGAAGAAGTACTTTTCATTTCGATGGAGCAAAGCATAGCCCAAAACGATAGACAGCCAGTGCTAATCGGTCCAGTACTGCTTGACATGTTTGGGAGCTGCCACAGATTAGGGCAATATCGTCCGCGCATTCTAAGTCAATCAGTCGCTCATCAGAAAGTAGCTCCACTTCTAGGTAGTGTCCAGCGAATGCTATTTCCATGACTACATCAATGGCGAAGTTAAAAATGGAAGGCGACAACGAGCAACTTTGTCTCACACCGCTGGTGATACTGAAGGGTGGCGACAGTTTGCCATAAACCCTAACTCTGCCTGCGCTATGCGCCTACAGCGCTTTGATAATGTTTACATATTTATCAGGCATACCTTTCCTCAGCAGACAGTCCCAAAGGACACATCAATCGACTAGAATATGTGTCAAATGTATGTAGGTCGATGACCGTTTAATAGCTCGCTCAATAGCAGAACCACTCATTGAACCTAGCACTATAACGAAGATTGTTCCACGCTTCTCCTGCATCAACGAGTATCAGGTATCCGGAGACACTGCTCGAGACGCTGCTAACTGGTTGATAAGTGTTTTGTCAACATTCGTATCAAGCACATCCATTCCCACCAATTCGCTTTGGGGTAAATATCCCGCTCGGGACAACATACGTTCATTACGCGCGTATCGTCTAACTGCATCGATGGCATAGCGCATTTGGCACATAAGCCCTACGGTCAGTATGGCAAACAAATGATGTCATAAGGTGCATCTGGTATCTGCGCTGACATTTGCCCAAGCGAAATGGGTTCCCTTGGCCCCGTTGATGATTTACCTCACCTGATTGATTTATACACACACTCACAACTGCAAGCAATGCAGCACGACGCAGCTGAGGACGTCGAGTTCGTGTCCATATGCAACTGTCAAGTGTTTAGCAGAGACTTTCGTTCCCTATGCGGCAATAATTTTCTGTGTGCTTTTGAGGCCTTAATGTCTTTGTGGTCTCACCGATGTCACTATGCTTGAAACCAAAGCTTTTTCATGACCAACTCACCTACATGTCTCGGCAGCGTGGCTTCTGTTTGTCTGCATTCCCTTTGCTCGCAGTCACTCAGCCATACAATTTGTTCCTCCGTATTCAAACTGCATCCCTTCAACAGACAAGGCCAATCACCTAAAATGTCGCCGCGGCGGCTTACAGGCCATTCTTGTGAATGGCTTCTGTAGTAAGCACTGTCTCACCAAAGAATCACCAAAGCTACCGCATACAATTTTGAGTAAATCATACCAAATAATGATTGTCCTTCTTGGCATATCTGTTTCACCACCGTAGAGAAGAGCCAACGGCACCAGTGAGCTGTACACTATCGATCTGGTCCGAACAGTGACAATTTTCATCCAAAAATTATGAGTTTCTGGCATCTATTAGCAGCCTATAATAGCTAGGTCTAGTTCAGATTCAAGGTCCTAGGTGCCTAAAGAGATTTTGACCAACTTCTCGTCTACGTGAGCACAAGCCGCATAGTCAGCGGATTCCTTTGATTGGCAATACCTGTCGCAATACAGAGGAAACCGAAAGCACCGATGCGTGTGAAATTATAAGGGTATCAGAAAAGCAAACACAGAGCCACAGGGCTTATTTACACAGCACCAGGATTAGGTGGTGGTCTCCGACTCACAACATCCTATGCAATTCAGTCGCTAAGCGCCGGGGGCGTTAATACGTGATGTGTCGAAAGCATTAGATACAAGTTTAAAGTATCCTGCAGTATTGCTTGCTCGGTACTTGCGACGCAGCACAGGGAGATCATTTTCCCTTCAGCAGATAGATATATATGCGACCAAAACACCATGTAAATTATCGGTGGTGAACTCAATAATATGATCAGGGAACAAACCACATAAATTAGATACTTGCTGAGTTTATCACCACGCAGTGGCCAAGGTGGGGGACCTTCTGGCAACGTCATCGCTCTAGATCACCTCACAACCAGTTCAGTGAATCAAAGGGCCGGATTCAAGCGAACAACCAGATATATACCATGAACTGACCGGCGTCAGAAAGAATGACAAGCTTCCAATGGTTTTATTGCACAGTCCACAGGCTTATCTCAATTCACAACTAACAACAAGGTCATCATTGAAAACTCGAATTAGAACATAGTCAAGAGGTATGACAAAACGGTTGTTTGGAGCGGTCCAAATGGCAAAGCGATAGCTTAGCAGCTATCAATAGAGTAAATGCATGAATATTAGCCAATATGGACACAAATTTATTAACAGAATGATTGAACACGGCACCCGATCACTTAGTGGAGTTCAACAGGTGACACAATACGAAACAGGAATAAACATGTATCAGTGAAAAATGAGGGCGCTTTGTTGAGTTAGCTAAATTGGCAATAAGAGAATGGGTGCAGTCAACCATTCTTTTATAATATCGTCAAACCCCATCTAGAAGACTGTGACAACGTGGGCTTCTCACCGCACCCATCGGACATGGAGCAAATCGAAGCGTTTTCTCTATCAGGATAACCATTGCACACAAATGGGAAATCACAATTTTCTGGAATGAATTTTAAATGCGACTGTCTGCTTCCTGAATCAACTTATTCTTCGCCATGATTGTGTTCGCCGTAGTCGCCTGATCACGTTAGTATGCATACCAAATTTTTAAGAGCTACTTTTCGCGCCAGGACCTATCGCACAGAAATCAGTTTGTTTCTCGAGTAAAACTAGGAGCCCACCAGGAGTCAGAGCTTTTCGATAATCATGAAGCGACATAAGCTAACATGGATAGACTTACTAAAATGGTCCCAGACTACAGTTGCTGACCACCGACCAAGTGACCAACCCTTAACTTCTGACTATGGAGAACTGGTATTACTTGACCAGTTCATCTATCATGGCGAACGCAACGGCAGAGGCTGTCGTGCAAAAGCCGAGCCTGATCAGTGTATTGCGAAAGAGTTGCGTTGTTGAACCACCATGTATACAGGACCACAGTGGGAGGTGCGAAGATGAAGGGGCCACATCCCACTTCTCTCATAAGAGTGAGATCTGTCCCCTTCAATCTGGGGATCTGAAGCACTTTCCTTTCTTTTGTCATAGTTACATACAGAATATTAATAGAATCAGAAAGTTAGATTATTTGCTC